AATACGTAACAACAACAACAAAAAACAAAACTCATTGAATTAAATCGCGCTCGAAATGACAATAATTTCCGTAATCTATAATATTTCATGTCTGATTCACTCGCTCGCAAATACAGTCAACACCTTAATCGACTTTTGCTCTTTCTCTCTGTGCGATTAAAGCAATTATTGTTAACATAAGTAAAGAATAGTTGAATCAATCGTTAAGTTATAATTATCGAAATTATAGATGATTTAGATTGAAAAGTAAACTAAATCTAAATTTATCGTTTTAGTTAACATGAGTAAACAATATAGTTCAATCAATGGTTAAATATTTAATTTATGGTCTTGCATAGTGCGATTTCGATCAGTGCGGATATAGCAAAATACCCGCACTGTGCGAGCAATTGCTAATAGATTTCTACAACAACAACATAAACAAAATTGCGGACAACGGAATATATGATGGCAACCGTAACCAAGTTACGAAACAATAATAATAATTGCAGCGATATTAGTTTGTTTCGTTAAGTTATAATTATCGAAATTATAGATGATTTAGATTGCAAAAGTAAACTAAATCTAAATTTATCGTTTTAGTTAACATGAGTAAACAATATAGTTCAATCAATGGTTAAGTATTTAATTTTTGGTCTTGCATAGTGCGATTTCGATCAGTGCGGATATAGCAAAATGCGAGCAATTGCTAATAGATTTCTACAAAAAAATAAACAAAATTGCGGACAACGGAATATATAGATGGCAACCGTAACCAAAGTTACGAAACAATAATAATAATTGCAGCGATATTAGTTTGTTGTTGTTAATGCATTTGTTTTTTTTGCTACATTGTCCATTGAATACGTAACAACAAAAAGAAAACAAAAACACAAACCTCATTGAATTTAAATCGCGCTCGAAATGACAATAATTTCCGTAATCTATAATATTTCATGTCTGATTCACTCGCTCGCAAAATCAGTCAACACCTTAATCGACCTTTTGCTCTTTCTGTACGATTAAAGCCCGGTTGGGGAACGTTCGAGAAATAATTCGTAAACAAAGCGTTTTCGATTTCCTCGCAATCCGAAAAATTTTGATTTTCTTACCGCGTAATTCAATCCGGTGAGATCGGCGTCGCCGCTCTGCAACCATTCGTAGAACTCCATCGCGTTGTCGGTGGGATCGCCCTCGCCGTACGTCGCCAAGCAGAAGACGGCCAGAGAGTTCGGGATTTGCTTCAAATTCACCAATTCTTCCTGAAAAAAAAATTGTTACAAGAACATTAGTTTCTTTCGATGTTTATGTTGAAAGTTAAGACTCACCATCTCGCATTCCTCGGGATCAGCCACCATTCCTTTGAGACGATACCTCATACCTTCTTTGGCGAGTCGACCGGCGAACTCTTCGCCAGTTCCCGTTTGACTTCCGTAGAACACGACCAAACTCCTGCCGGACGTCTTCAGTTTCTTGATGAAGGAATTATCCGAAGACGACTGTATCGTCATCGCCGTTGGTCTAAAACACACACACACATTCCATATTAACGCAATCTTTGGACTTTAATTTCTAAATCATATTTAGTATACTAGTTTTTGCGACAAACAATTCAAGTTCAAGTTTACATCTTTAAGTAAATTTAACACTCATCTTTTTCATCAAATTATTTAATTGCTTGTTAAAATATGCAAAAATCTATTTAATGTACTAAATTTTCCATCAGATTTACGTGAAAGATACGCACATGCACGTCAAAGTGTATTGAGAAAGAAGCCCGGGAGGAGAAAGTCGATGGATAAAGAAAAAGAAGAAATATTACAAATAAAACCTTGAGCAAATTTCACTCTCAAGTTTCACCGGCAAATTTAGAAAAGCCATTTGTTTAATTGCTCACTTATTATCATTTAAACACTTCCCCAAAAAAAATGTCCACTTACTGACTATGTAGTTTGATTTGAAGCAAGGTGTTTAAATACTCTACAGATTTACATGTGAAAATTCGCTATAATTTTAACATTTTCAACTTTAATGATCTAACAAAAACCAACTTTATTGATGTAACTGTTAAAAGTTGTAACCAATCGTTAGAGTTTCGTATGAACAAAATGTTAAATTTGTATATTTTAAATTAAAGTGTTCGTCTTTTCGAAACTAATTCTTAAACTGTACGAAGATGTTGAAAGTTTTAAGTTAAGAAATTTAAATGTCTTTCGCAATGTTAAACTCGGGAAGAAATGAAAAGGAAAGCGCGCTTTTTTCGAGTAGGCGACACACTTTCCGGCAAAAAAAAAAAAAAACATAAACGAAACCGAGTTCACAAGTTTAAGGTCGTCAAGTATATATATATTTGAAGAAAACAAAAAATGCGAGGAATTTCGACGAAAAAAAAAAAATGATCAAGTTACGTTACGTTACGTAATCCGATTGTGTAAAGTAATGATTGTACGTTTTGTTTACTCACTGTATGGAATAGGTTTTTCCGTTGGATGTCGGATCCTGCTTCTTCTTCTCCTTGGTGAAGTACCATGTTGCTATGACGATAATGACGGCGAGGAGGATGAGATCCAGAGGGCCGAAGAGCGATTCCGCGACTTCGGCGGTCATCTGTTCGGTGCCGATGTCCGCTTCGACTTCCATGGCTTTCAACTGGAAAATTTCCTTCTTCGTTTAATAGTCCGAATGAGCTGATGTTGATGATGATGAGTGTGCGAGCGGCAAGCGCAACGTGCGGAGTGGAGGAGAGCGCGACGATTTCAGCGAGAAGAGTCGAAAGTCTAATTATCGTGTGCGTGGATAGTGTATATATATACGACCGAAATGGAGAGAGATAGAAAGAAAGGAAGAGAGAGAGAGAAATGTATCTCCTCGCACTGCACTGTCCGCTATACGACTGAGCGCTTCGACTGCTCTACACCAATGTTATAGAACAGTCACGACATATCTATTTAATGGGGAAACGAAACGCACACTTGCTTACTTCTCCTACTTACTCTATAGATTTAAAAAGAAACAACAAGTAGAAGGACGTCGTAGTCCGTCGCTGATAATAGAGAATAGACGTCGTTAACGCACGACGATGATAACGACAAATTGCTAAATCCGTATCGCTTCACTTACTTTAAATCTAGACATCAGTGAAACAAACGTAAATCTTCAATTTTCATATACATCTAGAGATCATTGAAACAAAATGTAATCTCCGCATATGAAAAAACAAACGATTACTTGATAATTTATGAAAATTTCAAATGTTTACTTTAATCAAGAGAGCATTGAAACAATAGTGCATCTCCAAATAACAAAAAAAAGACTACTATGTTGATTCATTCTTAATGTTGCTCTAAATGTTCATATACATCTAGAGATCATTGAAACAAAATGTAATCTCCGCATATAAAAAACAAACGATTACTTATAATTTATGAAAATTCCAATGTTCACTATGATCAAGAGATCATTGAAACAATAGTGAATCTCCGCATATGAAAAAACAAACGATTACTTCATAATTTATGAAAATTCAAATGTTTACTTTGATCAAGAGAGCATTGAAACAATAGTGCATCTCCAAATAACAAAAAAAAAGACTACTATGTTGATTCATTCTTAATGTTGCTCTAAATGTTCATATACATCTAGAGATCATTGAAACAAAATAATCCCATATGAATCTCCGCATATGAAAAAACAAACGATTACTTCATAATTTATGAAAATTTCAAATGTTTACTTTAATCAAGAGAGCATTGAAACAATAGTGCATCTCCAAATAACAAAAAAAAAAGACTACTATGTTGATTCATTCTTAATGAAAATTCTAAATGTTCATATACATCTGGAGATCATTGAAACAAAATTGAATCTCCGCATATGAAAAAACAAATGATTACTTCATAATTTATAAAAATTCCAAATGTTTACTTTGATCAAGAGAGCATTGAAACAATAGTGCATCTCCAAATAACAAAAAAAAACGCGACTACTATGTTGATTCATTCTTTATGAAAATTCTAAATGTTCATATACATCTGGAGATCATTGAAACAAAATTGAATCTCCGCATATGAAAAAACAAACGATTACTTCATAATTTATGAAAATTCCAAATGTTTACTTTAATCAAGAGAGCATTGAAACAATAGTGCATCTCCAAATAAAACAAAAAAAAGACTACTATGTTGATTCATTCTTAATGTTGCTCTAAATGTTCATATACATCTAGAGATCATTGAAACAAAATGTAATCTTCGCATATCGAAAAACAAACGATTACTTCATAATTTATGAAAATTCCAAATTCCAATGTTTACTACTTTGATCAAGAAAGCATTGAAACAATAGTGCATCTCCAAATAACAAAAAAAAAAACGACTACTATGTTGATTCATTCTTTATGAAAATTCTAAATCTTGCTCTAAATGTTCATATACATCTAGAGATCATTGAAACAAAATGTAATCTTCGCATATGAAAAAACAAACGATTACTTGATAATTTATGAAAATTCCAAATTGCAATGTTTACTACTTTGATCAAGAGAGCATTGAAACAATAGTGCATCTCCAAATAACAAAAAAAAGACTACTATGTTGATTCATTCTTAATGTTGCTCTAAATGTTCATATACATCTAGAGATCATTGAAACAAAATTGAATCTCCGCATATCAAAAAACAAACGATTAATTCATAATTTATGAAAATTCCAATGTTTACTTTAATCAAGAAAGCATTGAAACAATAGTGCATCTCCAAATAACAAAAAACACGAATACTACTTAATTAGTGAAACTTTAATATTTCATTTAAATCTAGAAATCATTAAAACAAAAGTGAATTACCAAATACTATGTTTATACTTTATATAAATTCTAAATGCTGCTCTAAATCTAGACATCATTGAAACAAAAGTAAATCTTCTATTATGAAAATTTATATCTTCATATACATCTAGAGATCATTGAAACAAAATTGAATCTCCCCACATCAAAAACCAAACGATTACTTCATAATTTATGAAAATTCCAATGTTTACTTTGATCAAGAGAGCATTGAAACAATAGTGCATCTCCAAATAACAAAAAACACGAATACTTCAGAATTAATGAAACTTTAATATTTGATTTAAATCTAGAAACCATTAAAACAAAAGTGAATCACCAAAATAACGAATAAAACGATTACTATGTTTATTCATTCTTTATGAAAATTCTAAATGTTACTTTAAATCTAGACATCATTGAAACAAAAGTAAATCTTCAACTGTGAAAATTTCAATGTTCATATACATCTAGATATCATTGAAACAAAATGTAATCTCCGTATATGTAAAAACAAACGATTTATGAAAATTCCAATGTTCACTATGATCAAGAGATCATTGAAACAATAGCAAAAAGAAAAAACACGAATACTTCATAATTAATGAAAATTTAATATTTCGTTTGAATCTAGAAATCATTAAAACAAAAGTGAATCACCAAATAACAAAAAAAAGCGACTACTATGTTGATTCATTGTTTATGAAAATTGTGAAAATTTCAATGATCATATACATCTAGAGATCATTGAAAGAAAAATGAATTACTTCAAAATTTATGAAAATTCCAAATTCCAATGTTTACTTACATCAAGAGAGCATTGAAACAATAGTGCATCTCTAAATACCAAAAACAAAACAAACACAGAAGCAAATACTCGTATAAATCTAGAAATCATTAAAACAAAAGTGAATCACCAAATAACAAACAAAAAACGACTACTTGATATTATCTAGAAATCATTGAAACAAATGTGAATCTGCAAATAACAATAAAAAAAAGCTACTATATTATGAAAATATTAAATGTTACATTAAATCTAGAGATCATTGAAACATAAGTGAATCTCCAATTTACAAAATTGAAACAACTGCTTCATGCTTTATGTCAATTCTAAACGTTACTTAAAATTAAGAGATCATTGAAACAAGAGTGAATATCCAAAAACAAAATAAAACAAACAAAAAACACACGACTACTTTGTAATTTATGAAAATTTCCAAATTTCATTTAAATCAATATATTATTGAAACAAAAGTGTATCTCCAGAAATAACAACAAAGAAAAAGTAATAATTTTTCATGTAAATTCTAAATCTAGAGATCGTTGAAAAAAAGAGTAAATCTCCAGAAACAAAAAAAAACTACATCATTAAAACAAAAGAGTATTTCTAAATATTAAGAGAAAAATACTTTTACTTTATACTTTATAAACATTTTTACTTAAAATCAAGAGATCATTGAAACAAAAGTGTATCTCAAAATATAACAAACAATTAACGTAAATTCTAAAAGGCAAGAGTCTCAAAAATAAAAACAAACTCAATTACATAACAAAAAGTAAAAAATTCTACTTTGAATCTAGACATCACAGAAACAAAGGTCAGATCACCAAATAACAACAAAAAATCATCATCTCCACTTAGAAAAGTAATGCTAATACGAATTAAGTCAAATGCAAAATTTAAAAGACACATAAAGTCCAAACGCTTGCATAACGTTTCGAACACGTGCACTTCATGCCTTTTTAATTAATAATTTACGTCACGCACTTTCCATTATTACTAATTTCCATTTCGACCTGAGTGATTATACTTATTGATACGCTCTCAAAAATTAAAAAAAAAATCAGGTCGAAGTCGCATCTCAAAGTGTCATTTTCTAGTGATTTATTATAGAGAAATTATGACTATTTGTATACTTCTTTTTCTATATTTAGTTTTTTTTTTTCGAGAGAGTGAGAGAATCAATGCTACACTAACTACACTTATCGGAGGTTACTAAAGGTTGCAAACCGCACAAACACACACATACTCCTATTGAAAAACGAGAGTTTAACCTTGGACATGATAATCGACTTACAAATACTAACTGATTGTGTTTATTCCAACTAGAGTTTTATCTACGCAAAGAAAAAAAATAACAATTGTTAATTAGTGTAAATGATAAGTTTCGCTAGCGAATTTGAAAACTTATTGCAATGTCATAAAATCATTTCATTAATTCATGTTTTTCAATCATTCTTATTTATATAATTAGTTTACGTTTTCCATACGCAAAATTACTTTGAAAACTTGTAATTTCTGAATTAATTGATTTTCGAATGTCATGTCAATTAATGACATTGACGTACGAATACTTGAAACGTCAATGTGACAGTGTCAATGTCAAGTGGTTTTTGTATAAGGAAATCACCCATTGTAAAGGTTGACGTGACATTTAGAAACGTCAAATTGAGAAACGTCATTTGCTGTGACAATTGACACGTCGTTTATACGATGAAAGATTACATGAAAATTGACAGGAAGAAAAACAATGGAATATTAAGATTGACGTACGAACACTGGATCAGTGCAATGAAAGTTAATTTGCACTTTTGCAAGGAAAATCTAATATATCAAGTGTGAAAATTACTTTGAAAACTCATGAATTAATTGATTTTCGAATGTCATGTCAATTAATGACATTGACGTACGAATACTTGAAACGTCAATATGACAGTGTCAATGTCAAGTGGTTTTTGTATAAGGAAATCACCCGTGACATTTAGAAACGTCAAATATAGAAACGTCATTTGCTGTGACAATTGACACTTCGTTTAAGCAATGAAAGATTACTTGAAAATTGACAGGAAGAAAAACAATGGAATATTAAGATTGACGTACGAACACTGGATCAGTGAATTGAAAGTTAATTTGCACTTTTGCAAGAAAAATCTAATATATCAAGTGTGAAAATTACTTTGAAAACTCATGAATTAATTGATTTTCGAATGTCATGTCAATTAATGACATTGACGTACGAATACTTGAAACGTCAATGTCAAGTGGTTTTTGTATAAGGAAATCACCCATTGTAAAGGTTGACATGACATTTAGAAACGTCAAATATAGAAACG